TATATCTTTCTTCAGAATTTTGATTGCATATAGTTCATCTGTACCTTTCCTCTCTGCTAATAAAACCTGGAATAAATATATACAAATTAAAATAAAATATAATATAAATTTTTATGGAAAGTGCTTAAAACATTCTTTCACAACACTTTCATGGAAAAATTGATTAATATTTATTTATTTCTAAAACTGACCTTTCCAAAAGATCCCTTTCCTAAAACCATGAGGAAATTAAAATCTGTGGCTCGTATCACATCTTTTTTACTCATATTATGTGGAACATCTTTATCAGCTGGTAATGTTGGCCTTTTGGTAATAGATGTTTTCTAAAATATACAATTAAAATAAGCTAATACAATATTTAAAAGATAATATAAACAATAAAAATAGCTTGGCAAACAAGAAACAAAGTAAAGAAATCAAATTATATCTGTGCTCCTCACCTGAGTTGAAATGAAGAAGAAAATGTTTAATTGTATAAAAACCCAGATCTACTTGGGAGATTTGACAAAACAAAAGCTGATATTGGTATGCTGTATTATATCCAATGCTCTATTATTTCCAACACATACCCTCATCTGCGTCTTAAGTTGCGCCAAATCAGTTCCCTCCTCCGGTACTGGCACATTGTAGAATTCACCTTCTTCCTGAGTCAGCAGCTTGTACCAACCTTCTGCTGGTGATTTTATAATTTCGGATATATACCAAAGGAAAGCGATCCCATAAAATCGTTCCTGGATGTTCTGTCCCAATCCCAAACTTCTATCAAAAGCCTTCGGTCTTTGTCGGATGGTTTCAGTTCACTAATAAAAAAAACAATAGAATATATTTGATGCACATGCAATAAATGTTTAAAAAAACAATGAATTTTTAGCAATTTATTAGACTGTTTGGACAGTGGTTTCGTTTTAAACGCCTGGCTGTAGGTTAGTATATTTTAAATATGACTGAACTCATGATTCATTAAAAAAAATTACATGTCACCGATTGCCCAGATAAAATACATAAAATTACTTTGCAAACTAGTTCTACTTTTCATATTTAGAAGGACATTGGACATTAAAGTCTAAAAACAGCTGCATAGAGTCAATTGAATTTTGGATAATCTTGAATTGAAAATAATTAAATTAAGCTTTCTATGCATCTGATAATATATTTTCAGGAACTCTGTACCTACTAATATTACATATCACAAATTTGATCCATATACTCTAGATAACCATACATTTTTGCAAAATTATGTCAATACTCAATACAGTACAATACAAGTTTTTCATTCCAAACTGGATTGAGACTAGACCTTATAGTTTTAGTTTTCTTCTTAACATTATCCGAATCTGGTATCAGTTTAAGTTTCACATAAGGATCAGACAATCCATTAGGGTCCATTGGTTTAAATTTCTTCCTTGCCGAACTAGTAAGGAATAAATTATTCAAAAATATTTTTTTAATATTTATTATATTTTCTATTTCATACTATTTAATATCTTCCTTCGTTTTATTATATTTGATTTATTCTCTTATTTGAAATGAAATCTTATTTTGAAATGAAAATTGTTAGTTTGAAACTATTTATCATGTACATAGAATCCAAATTGTTAAAAAGGATTATGGTTTTATTCCAAAGCACAACTTCGAGATAGTAATGAATTGACTTACGAAAAGCTTTACGGAAATTTCTCTGATATTAGAGTTCTGAAATTTACGATAATCTGATTGTGGTTTATTAAATTGGGATTGCGGTTTTGTCATAAATAATATACCTACAATAACCCGAAACAAGTGAATCAATACTCGAATAGGAGCAGGACATACATTATATATATATTATATATATATATAATATATATATACATTTATAACTATATTTTTCTGAATTTAAAGGCTTGAAAGTAAAAGATAATTTATAATTTTTCAGCTGTGTTTGATTCTACTATTCAGGGATATAGTGACTTCTTTAGAAGAACTGATAAATCAAACAACTTCTATATGCATTAATATATTACAAAATTATTTTTATTCTATACATACCGTTTTAACTATTTAATTTTTAATTAATAATATGTATAAATGTATAATTTTTGTTTGTTTGAAAATGTGTCCCCTGAAGAAGTAGACATCATATCCTGTACAATTAATTACACATGAATAATTAAGTAAAAAATGAAAAACAGAGGATTTGAGTTCACAAAAATATAGTCATAAATAATATGAAATACAAATGAGAACAAAAAAATTTTTCTTTGAAAATACATTATTTATTTTCAGCGATTCTGAATAACAAGATGAATTTTCCGATTTTCTGTAAACAATATTTATTTAAAAATATCAAGTTTTTATTAATAGTATTATAATAAGGCAATAATAAATGTTTTTAGTATATACTGTATCTCAATGAGGACTATCGTTTGTCAGTTTTGTGCGCCAAGCCGTTTCTTTGTAATTTGGAAAAAAGTGTTAACCTTTTCGTCCACATTTAGGCTCATACTACCGAATCGATTTTAAAAAATCAAAAACTGTTCGAAATATATTAGTTGGGAATGATATTGATTAGTTTTAGGTGAAAATCTACTGAGACGTTTTCTTGTAATTCGTTGTTGAAAAAAAAATTAAGTCGATTTTTATGGAACTTTTTTTGACGATATATATCATGGTCTTATAGAACTTACTGTAACATTACGGCCTTACGACAAGTATGTAGTTTAATTTTAAAAATTCATCAAGAGTAGTTTTTTTATGTTGAATTAGACGATTTATTTGGTATAGTTAATGATAGAGTACTTGGTCTTAAGTTGATTTTTGAAAATTTGCTTTTAGAAAATACTCTAAATTAAGGTATTCGTTCGTTCGTTTTCAATTAGGTATAATAACTTGCCACAAGGCAAAACACCAATCCCAACTAGTTAAAATTACTTTTTACGCACATTAAAATTTATGTTCATAAAAATAATTTATACTATACTATTATCATATCACAGTAAATATTTCTCGGCTTGATACAGGTTTATCCGAATTAACTAAAATGTGATTCGAAACAGGTTGATAAGGGTTTGATTCGAATCACTTGATTCGAGTTGGCACTCACTAATTTATATGAAATATCTATCAAAATACCTTCAACTGTGAGTTTGTTGGCTATACAAGTGATTGTCAATTGTATCCTCCCACGTCGTTCAGTGTGATCGCAGCCACATAGATTTGGAACCGACTCCTCGCATCGTTTGTGTACGTTCATATCACATGCTAAATAAATTAATCAAGTTGAATAAATCAAAATAATCTCATAGATTTATACGAGTTATACATAGTCGTAAATTGAAACATTATTTATTTATTTCTATACATGCACAAATAAATAAAATTAAAAACTTACAAGTATAGTAATTGCTTTACTACTTATTAGATTTGGGATCAAATCAGTTTGAATTGGGATTAAATTAATTTTAAAACATTTATGATTAAGGTTTATTAAATTATATATTTATTACTGAACTAACAATTCTGTGTAACAAAGACACAAAATTATTTTAGTGTCAGCTAATTCCAGTATTATATTAAAGTGATTGAAGTTGCTACATGAAACAATAATTTTAGACACTATGTCGTTTATGGAAAAAGGTGTATATTGACGAGCCAGGTTTTCAGAGTTAATTAAAACATTATAGTCCAGTCATTATAGTAAGTTCACCTCGGAATTCGAGATACCCAACTGTAAGTCTGTAAATACTTGTATATTGAGAGTCTAAAGTTGTCTCAAAACCTACATATGTTGCGTACACCCTACAATATGTAAGTTTTGAGACAACTTTTAGGCGTCAATATACAAGTATTTACAGACTTACAGCTGGGTATCTAGAATTCCGAGATTCTTACCTAATTTAAGCTTAAATGACTGGACTATTAGTAATATCTGTATTTCAAAGATTTTTTGAAATATTTTATATATTAGCAGAATCTAATAATCAGACGTACCACGTACCATCAATAAAATTCATGAAAATCGAATTTCATCAAGTAATAAATGCACAAGTAAAAAAATTCGCCAGAATCAGTTTCCCACATGTCGTAACCAAGTTGAAACATATTCTTTAAATACTGTTACCATTATAAATCAATTACAATGTGCTAAAATTGTAATTTTAGTTTAATTATGATATGCATTTATATAAATACTTAAACATTTCCTAATTTTTTTATTACTTAGTGCAGTGTTATATATTATATCCTCATACAACAGATAAGTGTTAGATATATTTTGAATACTACAAACTGTAAAGACTTTTTACTTATTAACAATTATTATGAACAAATATAGTCTTATTTATTTTTCACCTGAATGAAGGGTGAGTCTATATCCGAAACGTATGAATTTTAGAGTAATTTTTTTTTTAAAAAAAAGTTTTTATTGATGTTACGCCCAATTTCTAGGTTCCGTTAATATATATGTCGAAGTCAGATTCAAAATTATATTATATTATATATATATATATATAAATATATATATATATATATATATATATATATATACAAAAAATTGTAATTAAACGAATAGTGTCTAAAATAATATTGGATGTAGCAATATAATATTAAACGTTCAATTACTTTTAAAAGTAGTATATAGAGTAGTATAATTAGTCATTCAGGATATTTATATCTAAGTAAAAAATCATGTGTATATGTTTCTGTATGCACCGGTATATATATATATATATATATATATATATATATATATATATATATATATACATATATATTTCATAAAAAATCATGCTTTTTTTCTAATACATTTTACTTATTATACTTACCTGTTGTCAATTTGTGCACAAGCTAAATCGAGAGACTATATATACATACATTTGATCTAAATCACAAACATACATAAATTATACACTAATTGCACAACAAGATTCTTGTTTCATCTGTTATTTACAAAAACTTTTCCAAAAAATTCATAGCTCGGAAGTGATTTTCGAGCAAGCGAAACTGTCAATATAATTTCCATTCCATATATTCAAATGTCAACTTACAAGCAAATCAGACTTCTACCAGAGTAAATTGACTTGTCAAAGGATTTGATAAACTTTGCATAGTTATAGAGAATAACCCCTTGAAATATAAATGGTCTATGAGTAGTGTTTAGATTATGAAAATCAATTAAAGGTTTAAAAAATAATTAGGATAGTCCTGTGGATAAGGCGACCCCTAACTCTTACTGTCTACTATCAACTCCATGGATATGGATAGTATGGTACCAAATACCAACGTACCTGGTTATAGATCATAACCATGCAAAGTTTCATCAAATTCCCAAAGTCATAAAAAACTTTATTGAAAATTTTGACAGCTCCAAATTCAATTCCAAAAATTTATTGAAATTTCGCTGGTTCGTAATCTCTCTCTGAAATATGGTTTCTTCAAAAAGTTTCTTAAAATGACTCATAGAATCAAAATTACAAAGTGTCCCCACGATCAAAAAAATTGATCTTCAATATATATACACGCATGTATATTTACGTGTGGCGCATAGCTCTGTATGGATCAGAGACATGGAATCTAAGAAAGACCGATAAGAAATATCTGAAGTGGTGGTGTTGAAGGCGAATGAAGAAGATAAAGGGTAAAGACAAATGAAGAAGTCCTGAGAAGAGTGGGCGATAAAAGAGCTGTACTGAAGAGAAAAGGAAACTGGATCGAACCCATTCTGCAAAAAAACTATTTCTTCTACATGATATAGTCTAAGATAAAATAGAAAGACTGAAAGGAATAGAAAGAAGAAGAATGCAGATGGTTGGTGACTTACGCGAGATGAGGAAAAACAGGAAAATGCAAGTACAAGGACCAGGAAGCATAAAATCAGAAGTTTGGAAAGAAAAATACATAAAAAATGTATTAGAAAATGAAGTTTATTTGTGGTGCCTCTCACACCATGGACCTGCCTTCGGCATACTACCATTTATTATTATTATTTTCTTTATATTTATGCAAGTGTGTATTAAAATCGGGTAATGTTTGGATAATTTAGAGATAAATTTGGCACGATGAATACAAAAGTTTAAATATACAAACAAACACACCCACAAAAACTTGAATATTAAATTTTAATTTAAAATTAAAAAATCCTCAAAATCTTATCCAAAAAACCACATACAAATATATACATATATCTTATCATGCACGTGTATATATACACACATGTAGGTATATTATAATACAAGTTAATCAATATACATTAAATTAATTTTGTGGGTCGCCAAAATGTTTATTGGTGCGCACCAATTCGTTTTATTCAGACAGTTCACTTGTTTGTGCTAACAATACATACCTTTTCAGTTATATTAACAACGCAAACCTGAAAACAGATATAAAATAAACATTAAATTATATGAAGAATTTGATGTTTACTTTATACTTGATTGAAATGAATTATTCATTGTAATTATTACCTGATTTACAGAAAGGAATATTAATTCGTATATTCATCACAGTCTATTTAGACAATTAACAAAAGTCTCATGATTTTAATTTACCTTCACAAGTACGTCTTTCTTACAAACTAATTTGAAACTTTTAACTGAAATAATTAATTTTGAATTTGTTTCTGATTCATTCTGTGTTTTCATAAATATGCAATCTTACTCGCCTATATATTTTTCTAATGTCACGACTTAATATCTATATTAATATTTTAGTATTTATCATAATAATTGCTTAGTAAATATAGATTTTACTAATGTTTTCTTATAAATCTTTAATATTATCTAAGACTTTTACACTTTATGATCACATTATTTATTTTAAAAATTATGATAAACGGAAATCAGTATTAAATTGGCTTTATTTAGAATAGTTTATTTAGAATTGATTGGATCTATTTAACCGAAGCAATTGATTAATGGGAAACAAGTTAAAATGCTATGCTATAGTAGAAGAGACTGGGCACGGTTATGCTAGGGTACGGTAGTGACAGTCGCCATAACAGGTAAACTATACTGATTTTGAGATAGGCTCCAAAGAGAAAAAGATGAAGTATGTTTTTTCGAACAAGTTTCCATTATTTTATGAAGTCAGCCCCCTACATTAACATGATCTGTAGATCGCTTTCAAAAAGTAAAGTGCATTTAGAAAAAATATTTTTTGTTCGATTTTAGTTTTCTAATAACTGTTACTTGTATACAAATAGATCCCTTTGTTTGTTATTTTACTGTAAGTTAAACATTAGAAGTTAATTACCAGTAATTTGTTTTGTATTTTGTGACATGTATATGTAAGGAAATTATAACTTTAGTAAGACAAAATACGAAGAGAAAAGAAAAGGAAAAATCAATATAAGAAACAAAAAGATTGCACAAAGATTTTTTGTTAACTTTGAAAAATTGTATATTGTTATATTATACTCACAAGCTTTGTTTAAATGATTATGTTGTGTTGTATTATATATTTATGGCAATAAAAGTCGTTATAAATCAAAAGTGTTTATACCTATTGTTTTTTTAACCTATGTTGATGTCTGTCACAAACGACCAGGGGTTGTGGACGGTTGTGCCACTCACTTTTTTCTTTTATGATTCGATTTTATGACTAATCCATCGTATTTAAGGGTAGTATTTCAGCATTTCCATGTAGACAAATATTTATATTATTATTTAATTTACTTCTCTCTGAGCTAACTAGTAAATTAACAAAATTATTGCTGATCAAAAAAGTGGTACAAGCGTACTCAGTCTCCTCAACTCTCGTTTACCGTTATATTTAAATAAAGTAATTACTATTAAAATTATGATTTATGCAAAGATGTAATATTTAATCGAAATGATCCAAAAAACACATATTTGGATTATTTGCAATAAAATACTTAATTAATTCTTTAGAAACATGCATGTAACAACAAAGTTATAGATATAATGAGTGTTTTAACTCAAAAACTCTATAATTAAAAAAAATTATTCTAAAAAAAATGTTCTTATCGTCAGTCGAAGTAATAGTAATTAAAGTGATTCTCATGTAACAAAGCTCATAAAATTTAATTATGATTTAATTAATTACTGAAAAGGTGGAAGGTTCTATATTAATATAAAATCAACGAGCACCATAAAATACTTTTACCTTTTTTTGTTTTTAAAATAAGTTTTTTCTGTGTATGATGTACACTTTAAGCTGTAAAAATATTTTGTGATATCTTAACAATGAATTATGTATTTTGACTTAAATTCTATATTTTCAAAAAAATGCACTAAGTCGAAAGT